GCCGCTCTTTTGGTTTACGTTTTGGTGTACGTTTGTAAGCCTGTGGTGCGCTACGATCCTGCTGTGCAGCACCATGAGCGCAGCGAATGACGCTCCAGCCTCAGCCGGCTTTTTGTGTGGTATATCTGGTGTGAGTGCGCCTGGGTGTGATCCATGTGGTCTCGGTCCACACTTGGAGACGTCCTAAAGAAGTCAAGCAGGAGTGTTCATGGTATATTTAAGTCATGAATACATTGTAACTTAATTTATTGCAATGGAAACAATCCCAGAAACAAAGCCAACACTGACACAAGAACGCTCTTTGCCTGTGCCAGGCTGGCTGACAGCTGAAGGTTTTGTAGCACTCCTTGGTATATATTTCTCAGCCTCCCCTCTTCCCATCCCCTATCTCTAGGGTGTACAGATTTCTTTCTGCTCAACCAAGTAAGATTTTCCTCTAAGCCTTTTCTTACTGCCATGTTTCCTTCTGCCTTTTGAGTTCTTTTTTGCACGAGAAATTGTTTCAGACAAACATGAATGAGGTTGAGTTATTTTGTTGTTCTGACTGTTCAGCACATGAAGAAGGCTTTCTCTCCTCAAGTCCATCAAATCAAGCTTCACAGTAAGAATTTATCTCTGGGTATTCATATAACATTCCAAATCATATTGAGGCATACAAAATATTTCGTGTTCATCTTTAAGAGGAGGGTGAAGAAAATCTCTTCTGATAAGTCAAATACTTTTTGATGTTGGTAAGATAAATGTAATGAAGTCACTTTTGTCTTTGAAATATCTCTCTTATTTTATTGCACAGTACACAGCCATTTTGATGTGCCATACTTCTGGTTTGTGTGACACATCCATCTCAAAACAGTTTGTTTTTCACTGGTCCAAACAGTGCGATTGAATGTTCCATGGAATAGCTGTGCTGTAACTTGAATGGTGCCTTTCCCATCTAGATATGACCGAGCAGCAATGGTGGCTTTACAGTGTGCCAGGTCCTTCACAGGGAAAGGCACAGCCCAGACAACGCAAACACACACCGAGTGTGTGACGTGCTGTGCTGTTTGTGCTAGCTGCAGTTTGTACATGATCACAAACACAAATGGGCTGCTGGCTCAGCGCCTGCGTGCGAGCAGTGTGGCAAAGCCCATGTTTCAGTCTGGCATATCATGATATAACAAGCTGCTGGGTTATTTCTTGAGGATACTGCTCACTGCTGATGGTCTGTAGTTTGGGAACTGATGCCTGTAGACACAGTGCTGTGGAGTTCACGTCCACAGCATCTATATCTGCTCAGCAGCTTTGTCTGTTATCCAGAATATATATATTTTTTTGGCCTTCAAGGATGTGAACTTCGCCTTTGTGTCCTCCTTGTTGACATAGTCCTAATTTTTATGATTTCTGACAGAGTCCAATTTATGCATTTCCTATTTCATTTTTTGTACTACATTTATTTCAAGACAACTACACAAGTAGATCGTAAGATTGAGTGATAAAGAGATAAACAGTAAATAGCATTTTTCACAGGTCTTGCATATGAAAATTTCTGTTTAAGTCAAGTCTTGTTTGACCTACTGACACAAGAAGTAGCACTAATGGGACCGAAGAATAATAGGAATTTTCCTTCTATGGAGAAAAAGAGTAACCTGCCTAGCATTGCTGATAATGTTTTCTGTTGATTTCTAGCTTTGATTATAGAGGAAAGCTGGGAGATTTGTTTTTTGTGTCCTTTTCTTTCCCCCTTCATGTGTTGTAAGAGGATTTTTTTGGTTTTGTCTTTTGTTTTCCAAAGTTAACCCCCAACATTTGTTCTAGATGATTGTATCACGCAGTATAAAGTAAGCTGGTGCTAGATTAAAAGCCGTTTTATAGAGTTTGCACTTTGCCAGTTTTATAGACTAGCATAAAACATAAAGGTATCTTGGGATTTGTTTTGTTCCTCTGCAAGAAATTGAAGATGTTTTTCTAGCTGCTTGAAAACAGAATGCTTGGATTTGCACAACCATTTTCATTGTGTTAATGCTGCTCTGTGGGGCAAATTCTGCCTCATGAGGGCAACTTTAAATCTGGAATAATTATGTTCAATTACAATCTGTAATCCAGGGCTTAATTTAATCTGTGGATAAAATATGTGCTTTGTCTTCATCTTCACTACCCTGTTGTTAAAAGGAACAGAAGGGAAACTTGTATCACAGAGAGAATTTGTTTTGGCAAAGTTCATGTTAGAGCTTTGCTTTATCAAATTGTGTGTATCAAGGACACCTTCAGTTTCATCAGTGAGCCTTTCTCTGGCTGGGCAGGTTAACCAGCACACATGGGAAGCCTCTCCTCCCGTTGGCCTTGCTGAGGGCAATGCCCCCACAGGTCGCTGGGCTCGGGGCCCGGTGTAAACTTTGCTCTCAGGTCTGACTGACTCATGCTCCCACCACATCTCAGCACCTGGCCCTGTTTCCTGAGGAAGTTGGCCCAAGGAAATGTGTGCTGAAGCGCCATGCGCGGTGAGCTACTGATTTGGAGAGATCTGTAAGTCCACGAGTAGCATTTAGTGGATGGAAATCTCCACGTTTTCTCTAACATAAACGGCTGTGGTGCGAGAGCTGTAGGACCGTGTGTGGAAAGGGCAGCACCACACCATCTTACTGAGCAGTTAACAAAGGCTCTGAGTTGGGTGAGGTCAGACATGACGTACAGAGATGTGAGCTCCTCCCCCTGTGGTCAGATACCATTTGCTGTCTATCACAAATCTGGAAGCTGAGCTCGATAAACTTCTGCTCTTTTTGTATTACACAGGACAAAGCATCACTATTGATTTTTACAGCCCAGTGATTTTTATTTCTGCCTTCTTGCAGGATCAGCATAAAGGGAAAAAATCAGAAATCATTGCACAGTGTTAGGGTAAATTTCCAAACTTCAATTGAGTTTTGTACTTGCCTCTCTGAAATGTTAAAAAATATGCATTTTGCACCATCCTGTTGCTAATAGTTTTTCTCCAGAAACAACATTGTTGAAAACAAACTGATTACTCGTTTGACCACTTGCTATGTAGAAAATCAAAGTGTCATGAGCTACTGCCTGTGTTTTTCATCTGTTGAGTGAAATAGGAATGCACACCAGTTGCTCTGGCTGAATGGGCTGAAGTTATTGGATATAACCTCTCTGTATGCTGTCTTCATCCCGTGATCCTGCAGAGATCATCTTGAAGTCAGAAGTAAACTTCACTTGTGAAATCAAGACAGCGTGAGCTTTGTGCCTCAGAACCTCAGAATCATTTCAGTTAGGAAAGGCTTTATGCTGCTAGCAACCACGTGAACCAGTCTGACATCTTAGTGGCTGGGAAAGCATAGGTAAGGCTGATTTTTAGCTAGCATTTCACTTGGTAAGGGGGAAAACTTTTCGCCACTTCAGACTATGCCGATATATATGTTAGGTGTCCTTCCTTAGAGAACTGCTGCAGCAAAAAGCAAGCAAACAAAATATACAGACCCACTTTAGATGTGATATTAAAGACAAAAGAGGAAAAATGTTCTGAAACTATTTGATCCATTAATTTATATTTGAAATTAGAACACTGTCTGTGGTTCTATTATCTTTTGCCATACAGAGCTGTCTTTGAAAGGGGAAAAAGCTTAGTGAAAAGTAATTTCAGAACCTCGGCTGCTTTTTGATTACAATTTGGGATTACTGTTTAATCACCGCTTATCAAGTAATACCACAAACCTCAGAGCATGACCATCTTTCTCAGGGGATGCCAGATTTAAAGGCCAATTTTCAGCAATCCCTCTTCTTTCTCCCAAACCCATATAACAAATAGGAAAGGATAATATCTGCGGTCACGAGAGACCGTAAGCGATGTTTGAAACTCTCAACATTCTCAGATTTCTTCTAGGTTTTCTTCATTGGTAATGTCCGTTTATTCAGCAGAAATACTGTTCTCATGTCTGAGCAAGCTCCTGTTCCAAGGCAATCTCCACATGAGCCCAAGACATCACGCTCACTGCCCCTTTTGCCTGGCAGATGACAGGTGTTACACGTGAAAACTTGTTCAAATAGATGCGCCTGCATGTGTGGAGAGGAGGTCTGAAATTAATCCTTTGTATTTGCATGCAGGTAGATAATTCAGACTGGCTTGGTGCGCAAGCTGAAGCGCTGGATAAGATGTGTATTGGCTAGCAGCAATATCCACCAGAGATACTTGAGTTAAAAGATGTTTCCACTCAGAGTTAGTGATGATGCATGCAGGAGTGGGTGGCAGCCCTGTGTCTGAAGTAGGAGGAGAGAAGAGGGAGCTCTCAGTTCCTGCTGTGCAGCAGGAGGGCCATGACTGGGGGGTTGCAGGGAGGAAAGGAAAAATTACATTCAGTGTGGTGCTTGGTGAGGAGGCAAAGAGGGAGATCAACCCTGAACCTTTCCTTGCATTTGCTTTGGTGACTGCCTCACACTAGAGTGTAACAAGTCTCTGCTGTGGGACACCTCATGCATGTTCTTTTAAGTAAATACTGCACAATAAAGACAAAGTGCTTTCACTCTAGCATAAGACACGTGTACCAAGATCAATCCCATCTCACAATTCTATCCCATCTTGGGGCTGTCTTAAATTTCTAGCTAGAGCCCAACAGTATTGATGTTTACAGAGATACTGTTTAGTGGAAATATAGTACGATAAAATTACCACTGATGGAGAAGCACATCTTGTGCATAGCTTTCCAAACCCAAATTTGGATGGAAAGGAAGTTCTCTACCAGCTGGGAGGGCAAGGGATGCTAAATCCAACATAGTGCTGCTGGAGTAGAACCCCATCTGTGTTTATTGTGTAACAGCTTTCAGTCTCTCTAGAGTAGACAAAAACTCTCAGAAAACCCAAACAGAAGCTTTTTTTTAGATAGCCTGGAAAGGGACATTCAGCAGCAGAGAAGATTGTTATAAGGCAGATGATTTGTTGGCTTGGTTTTGCACAGTGCAGAATCGCTGGATGTGCTGAATGCTTTAGCAAAGTGATCTGTTTGACCAAGCAAAATTTGGCTGACTGCTGACCTTGACTGTTGAAAAGCTGGGAGACACGGTCTCACAGCCCATAAGATAGGAGAGTTGGTGCTGCCCTTTGAGAATGCCAGTAGTCTGAGGAGTTTGGAGAGACTGAATTGGATTCAGAGCCTTCTGCACCGTGTGAGCACTGGAGAGGACGATTTTAAGGGACGCCGTTAAGTGATGAACTTGTACGTATGGCACAGTTCGCCTTCTGTCTGCTGAAATGTATGTTGTCCATCTGTTCTCTCTCTGCTCTGAGAGCAGTTGGGCTGCTGATCAAATGATCATGCCTAGCTGGTGAAAATGTCAGTAATTAGAGATCGCTTCCTGGTCTGCTCTGCATATAGATGGCTATAAAGAGAGTGGGGAACTGGCACCTTCAGATGAACCGTGCTGTTGATTGTGTAAATAAGTTTTGTGGTAGAGTCAGGTTTGGAAATGGTGAAAGTGTTCTGGTTTCTTACAGGAATACAGGGCTACAAACAGCTGCACCTGTGTATGCAATAGTTTAACTTCTATCAGAATTTGCCCTAAATTGTTTTCTCTGGTGATTACCTTAATTTGAGACATGGATGAGAGCAGGATGTTTGTACTGATTTGATTAGGCCTGGCAGCTGTCTCTCTTGCCGTAAGGGGTGCTCACAGAATGTTCCTCATCCTCCCTGTGTGAGAGATACCACAGTGTCCTTTCAGAGAGCTCTCTCAATTTTCCTTAAGGACACTGAGTTGTGTGATGTTGTAAGGTTCCATTTTCAACAGCAAGCTGAAAGTATGACAAGCAGTGCTGTAGGAATGCTTGTGAGTGCAACTTAATTTTTTTGTTAGGATAACAACAATTTTAAAATATTCTTCAAAAGAGAGTAAAAATTTCTATTTATAATCAGAATGAGGCAAGCTGAGAGTCGTGGAGTCCTGAGCTTGTCAGTGTGCTAACTGATGTGATGTCTCAGGCTTGGGGAGCCTGGCTGATTGTTTCTGCTTACAGAATTAACATCATTTTCATCTGCGCCTTCTGTCAGACTGAATTAATGTGCCAGTCTGCTCCCAAAGAAAAAAAAAAGCACAAATCCCTCCACCCTGCTGACAAAATACATCAATGCCAGCAGCCCCTACACATGAATGAACCTCAATAAGCAAAGTACTGTGCATGGGTGGCAGAGGAGGAGAAAAACAAGGAGTTGATAAAGAAATGTATTTCTCTTTCAGCCTTCTAAGATGTTGGCTTAAAAAAAAAAACAAACAAACAACAGGGAGAGAAAATAAAACCAGTCATTTTTTAAATCATGAAAAATACAAAGACAGTGACCTCCAAGCTGATGTAGTTTTTCGGGGCTTTGTGGGCTTTTTCTTGGTTGGTGTTTGTTTTTGTTTTTTGTGTTGTTTTGTTTTGTTTTGTTTTTTTGCCTATGGATTTAGACAGAGGCCTTCAGGCTGGGAATCTTTTTCAGTTGTTATTTCTGCAGCTCTGGTCTTATTACTCAAATGTGGATTGATCTTAAGCTGTCTAAAAGCCCAATCTTTGAATCTTTTAGTGCTTGTAGCATTCTGCTGAGATACTGTGTGGGTCGGGCTGAAGCCCCTCATCTAAGAGAGCTGCAGGAAGTGATGATGTGCATGTGATTGTGCAAAACACCAAAGCAAAATAACCTCTGAATTTGGATGCTTTGCAAGTAAATACTTCTAAGAGGACAAGCTGGATTGTGGCTCAATTCCAGTTAGAAAGGCTTGAGCACGATTTCCTCCTTAGTTACCTGCCCAGAAAGACCTTGATGGCTGCAGATTGCCCAGCCCACTCCTGGCCAATGGACGGATAAGTTGGGAAGAAGAGTTCCCTCCCGAGGCACAGCAGTCAGTGTGCACACAGCCTTCCTAAAGGGACAGTGCTGAGCCTTTCCTGATCCTCTGGCAACAGTGTAGGATGTCAGGACAGAGACAGGTGGCAGATTTAACTCTTAATGCTGGGGTGATATATAAGATGTATTCTAGCATGCACTTCATGGGGACAGAACATGTTCACTGCGTCAGAGATAAGTGAAGGTAGAAGGTTTTGATTTTGTTAGTACCAATTCTGGCAAAAGCAACCTTAAAAAGAGGGGTTAATCTAGCTGCAGGCTATTTTGTGTTCAGCTTGAACACATCGTTTTATCAAACAGAAGCTCTGGCCTCTGGACTTTGAAGAGAATGACTGACAAGCTCAGGCTTTCATCAAAAGGGTGGGAAAAAAACCGAGCAATCCCTTTTGTTACATCAGTTCTTAAAGTCAGAATGTGCCATGACACCCAGTCCTGCTCTGTGTCCTGATGAAAAAGGCAAGTCCTGATGCACAGGTGTGTTTCCCTGCAGGATCCAGGCACTTTCTAGACTTCCATTCTGTCTCTTCAGAGGTTGGATCCTTGCTTTCCTGTACTGCTAGTAATATACTGAGACATAAAGTCTAAGCCAAATACTTAAAACTTAACTTGCCTCCAGACTGTAGTCTTTCAGTTGATTTTACAAGGGTCTATTTGCATCTTCAGAGGTCTGAATACTGCTTTGAAAACCTGCTTCTAGGTGATATGCCCAGATCATAGCATTAGTTCACTGCCTGTGGGCCTTCAAACATCAGGTGAGACTTGCCAGCCTTATTACAGATATTGCAGGGTAAGTCTGTGGCGGGGAAGGAGGAAGCAATGCCAGGGGACCCATTCACACCTTCCTCCTCTTTCTTGGTGAAGAACGATGCCCACAGGGCGCTAAGTTGGGAGGGTTGCCTTGCCCTGTACAGGGAGCGGTTTTGTAGACTTCCTTCAGAGTTGTGGTCATCTTTTACAGGATCAGAGCCTTAGAAGAAGGTATTTTGTTTGGGTTTTTATTTTTCTCCCATGCCCGGTGCATTACTCACAGGCACCATATTTGATTTATTGTGGCGTGCAGGTTTTTCCCCATGCATCTGTGGAAAACATGGAATAAATGACATAGACTGAGTGGAATCATATCCCCCAAGCTGCCTCTGAAATCTTAATTAAACCCGCAGGGTCTTGTTTAAGGATAGAAAAACAGCAGAATATGAAGTACTGAAGACCAGTAAATAAATTATTGGTGCTTCTTGCTACTTCACTGTGCTGGTAGTGATCTGAAAAAAAAAAAAATAATCCAAATCTATCCTTTCTGTTTGACCATTTTATTATTAGCAGCTACTGTGTTTTAACCATGACTTCTCGTTGAAGAAAACTGCGCTGGGGAAAAGAGAGTTTTTAAAAGTTGGACTTAGGCTCATAAATACAGAGGGAGCTTCTCCACTCAGCCTGAAGTTTGCTTCTCCCATTTTTCATCCATGGGATGTCACAGCACGCGCTGAGCTGGAGACTTAGGGAGGTGGCTTGGAAGCTAAAGCAGCCATAGGCAGGCTGCCTGGATTCAGTGCTGCCTGCAGGAACCAGAGGGCAACTGTGCCACTGAGAACAGAACATGCTGACATCTGTAGTATGGCATGCACAGCCAATCAGCTGGAGAATGTAGGGGCATCCTCTTACCATTATAATCCCGTGTCTGGTAACTTATTTGTATAAAGGAATTGTATTTTCTCTTTCTTGTGCTCTACTGAGATAAGAACTTGATGCCTCCCAGGTGAAGAACTGAGGTGAAGTGACCCGGTGAAGACCCCACAAGAAGTCTGTGTCACAGCAGGGGTCTGCCATGTTTTTCTGTGGGGTAGGCAGTAATGAATGGGGCTGAATAAAAGCACATGCTCTTTCCAAACTCTGGCAGCAAGCAGAGTAAGGAGCTATGTGTAAGGAATGAGAGCTGCTTGAGTTTCTGACAGCCACGGGAAGGGCTGAAAATTATATCCTGCGGTTCCCTTCTTGTTTCTACAGAGGTGGTAGAATTTGGAAGCTGACCTGGCAGTGTTTGACATCTTCACTGTATTTTTGGGAACCATGTGCTATGCTTTAGCCTTTAGAAATGGTGGAAAAAATGCAACATGCCAATACAGTCATATTCCACAGGAGTGATGTGCCTGAGTGAGGCTGTGGCATTATGGGGCTGGAGGCTGGCTAGAGGCACGAGCAAGGAAGCAGCTTCAGAAGGACAAAGGTTGGCCCTTGGGGAATTACAGATGGCAAAAGAATTCCTGGGCACCACGTATACTTAGGCATCAAGCCCTCTGGATGGTTTCCTTTAATCTGCAGATGTGGAGTGGAGAGGTGTGAAGGATGCAGGGCTCCAACAGCTGTTGCTGCATTGGGGCAGCCAGCCTAGGTTAGGCATTGGAGGCCTTGTGATGCTGCAGCTGCTAGATGACATCAGTGGCATCATTCCTTCAGGGTGCAGTGGATCCACCTTACTTAATTCTGCCCTCCTTTAGGTAGCTATTAATGAAAGGACCCAGAGCCCTGGTCCTTTTGGATTCTAGTTATTAAATAAGGCAGTTTATTCAATTTAAGTAACTGTTGAGATTCTTTTGCTTAATGAAACTGAGGAAAAGGAAACCTCACAGCTTCTGTTTTATGAGTACAAATCACCCACCCTTCCCTCCCTTTTTCTTTACAGCCTTCCCTTTCAGTGTTGTAGATGCAAATAGAGAACATGCAGTGCTTGCCATTGCCATGTGGAAATGAATAATGGTTTTGGGCAAAGACCAAACTGAGTTTCCAGAGGGCTGCTCTTTCCTGCTCATTCATCTATATGATGTATAGAACAAACATATATGGAATATATAGAATATATATAGATGTATAGAACAAAAATATACTGTCAGGAAAAAAGGGCTGTTTAGTATTCAGAGGTTCAAAGCCATTTAACAATATTGTCTTCACCTAGGAACCAAGTTATTTCTTCAAGAAATGTACAGAGAACACTTTGCTTTCAATTTACAGCTTGGTCTGCAGGAACATTGCAGTGGTGAGAGTCCTGTGTCAGGAACACTGAATTTATACCAATAAAGGCTCTGAATAACTTCTTGCAGATCTGCCTTGTCAGTTGATAAGATGGAGATTTAGACCAGGAGAAATGCTCTTTGATGCCTTTTCCCAGCATTGTTACTTTTTCTGAAGGATGAATGGTTTACGTGAGAGAAGACAAAGAGGCAGCAGCCCTTTCAGCAGCGGATATCCCTCAGACTGTGGGTGACCTTCAGTGGGTAAATGGCTTAATGCATGCCTCAGTTTCACTTGAAAATTAAATTGGTTAAACTGGGACAACCTTCTCC